CAAAACTCATGAACCAATCAGAGAAGGGCAAAAGGATGGCAATACTCTCCAGTACCTAGGTCAAAGACACATAACCTAGATGTAGGCGAATTCTACTAAGGTCTCCGAATAAGGTTATCACCGGTGCAAAAGTTTTCGGAAAACAGAACGCGAATCTTGAACTTTCAGAAGTAATTATAGGATAACTATAAATCGCATAGCAAAGAGAGTTTTAGGACTGTTATTTATTTCTTACGCTAATTTGCATTTAATCGTATTCACAGAGGCATAATGAGGTAATCAAAAAAAAAAAAAAAAGTAAAAATGGCGTTTCTTGCATCGATGAGTTGGTGCGCTATTTGATCGCTTGAGCGCACTAGTATACTAGAGCTCTAGTGGCAGGTCGAAATCAAAAAGCGCCGCCTATCGGCTGAGCGCTTAAAAGTTAGAGTATCTGATTTTTATTTATTATGCGGGCGAGAATGGATATTTTGGAGATTTAAAGCATATGGGCAGATCCTCGGTGAGACTTCGAATTTTTACTGTGACACCCATACTCCTCAAAAGAATTGAGTCTCTAATTCATCTCGCAGTGAGGAAGGTATTTTCTGAAATTTCAAGATAAATTCCAGATTCAATTTTTTGCGGAATTTGCGAATGAAGTTTTCAGAAAGTTTCTGATATTTAGAGATTAAATCGAAATTCACTAAATCTTGGAACTCTTCCATAAATTCTGAAGTTAATTCTTGATGTTTAGAAATCGAATCCCACTCATTCCTTTGAGCGAGTCCATGGTTCCGGATGAAGTCTAAAGACAATTTGCGATCTCGAAGAATATGTTTGAAATTAAGAAGATGACTGTACAAATCCAAGAATTTTTCATCCAAATTTTCCGAATTTTTGGAGAGTGCATCCCAATCGATTAAATGACTAATTTGGTTGATGAATTGAGGTGATATCTCGGAAAATGTTGCTTCTTCCTCCAAATTTGTCACGATAATGTGATCAGCAAAAACTTCTGACCATTTGATATATTTTTCGAAGATTTTCAAACTCATTTTTTTTTTTGCTTCACTTCTGAAATAAAAAGAGAAAAGGAGGAAATTCTCAAGTTTTTATATTTTTTTCTCGCCTCCGAAGTACACGCCTCCTTCCAAAAATCATAATTTTCAAAATATTCTCCTCCTTTCAGTTATTCACATCCTTGACGTATCACTAGTTGTCTACTTTGCATTTTGAAGGAAAATTATACGACTCCAATGACAATTTACGTTTGAAGTTTTTCTTTATCTTCAATTTACGTTTGAAGATTTTCTTCATCTTCAATTTCGCAGGAAAATTTTGTAAGAAGCTCTTCGTGAACTTTGCTGAGTTGAAGTCGGTGATCTTCGAAGTAACAATATCCGTAGCTGATAGTTGTTATACCATTATTTTCGACCATTCTTTTATCATCGTATGACGATAGTGTTTTTTTCTTTGTTTTGACGGTGTAAAGAACATGTTTTTTACTGATTATCGAACATTGATCGTGAGAGAAATCCTTTCGTTGAAACAGGCAGTCCAAATAATCTGAAACCGTTATTTCTTTCTGGAGGGTAGACGTCTTCACACCTTTTCCTCGTTTCTTCTCCGAATTCACTGTCGTTACCGAGTACATTTTTGGACGCAGTGAGACTACGAATTTGATCGGATCTCCATTGAATTCTTCCGTGAAAACTCCAGGAATTTTTTTGTTTCTATCTGAGTGTAGTGAATGATCTTTTGGAAAATCACTTGTGTCAAATTGATCCATATTTTCGCTCATAAATTTGTACAAATCACCCTTGGCTTCCACAAGTAAGCTGTCCGTATCTTGGAGAATTAATTGGAGCGAGTCTTTAAAATTGGGAAGTAAAAATTCATAGTAAAATTCGTAAATTTTACATTTGGATACATCCAGAATGCATTGAGCAATTTGTACTGGACTGCTATGTTTGATATATTTTTTCAGTCGATGGACAGCGGCTAAATTATCATCATAAATCACAGATCTTTTGAAGAAATTATCGCAAACTAATTTCTGATATTGCTCAGGATCAGTGCAAAGCGTCAGATCCAAACGATTCCTCGTATTCATCAAACAACGACCGTATATGCTGTTGCAACAAAATTTGAAAATAGTCTTTTCAAAATCGTTCTTGGCTGCTTGTCGGAGAGCAATAGTTTTATCAATGTAAGGCTCTAATATTCTGGCTTGCCTGAATGAAATTCCACGATGAATTTTTTCAAGAATTAATCCATGTTTCAGAGCTAATTTTAGCATCCGGTAATGAATGACATATTTTTTTTTATCATATAAGGTGCATAATAATTTAGGATGTTTTGAAAACGAATTGGGTGGAATCATGTATTCTGGACAAAAAGGAAATTGTTGATGAGCGTGATGAATTTTCCGACAGTAATTTAGATCCACTTCGAGCACAAAACCGACATCTCCAAAAACATCGATTTTCGAAAGATCAAAATCGTCGATTTCCTGCTGTGTCATCCAACGGAAATCACCCGCCGGCAAAGGTTGTTTTAATGCCCACGAGTACAGAGAAACCGCATCGAATAAAGCTAAAAAAATTTCATCTTTCACATTTTCTTCTCCGACATATTTATTCGAAGCTTTACTAAATTTTTTCACGGAGTTGGTGATGCCACCTCTGCAACCTTTCAAGAAAAAGTGGACCATATCGATTTCAGTCAACAATTCGATTTTAACTTTAGTTGAAAATAACATACTGTCCCACGCGTAGTGGGGGAGAGTTAAGTAGTGGCATGGATCAATTTTATACTCTGAAAAAAGCTTATTCCGGAACGCTAAAAAGCAATCCGTGAGTAGGAGTGTGTCCAAAAGTAAATACTTGTCGCTGAAAGTTCCCATATCAGTGCATCCGGCGGCTTTATAAAAATTCAAAGCGTGTAAGTAACGTTCCTCCGAAATGTTTTCTTTGGTGAGATTGTTGTAAAAAGCAGATCTCTCTGAAAAAGGTAAATCATATTTGCTTGAGTCCGTAACCCAATCGTACGGAAAACTTTGTTTTCGTTTGACAAACTCGAAGAGATGTTCTGGAAAATGTTTCCTGGTGTGCACAAGTTCTGCATCATTCATCATCTGAGATAGTTTATCCAAAGATGTTTGCAAAAATTTATACGTATCTATAAATTGATATTGAAATGAGCCGACTTGAACCGTCAGAGCTATACACTTCTCTTCTGTCGTAGGTATTATTTTTACACGCCTTCGTCTATTTTTAGAGGTACCTCTGATAACAGGTTGAATGTCATAATTCATCATATTGTGCGAGTAAACGCGTACAATTTTCGGTCGCGAAAGTAGAATGTTACATGTTGAATGTGCGACACCGATTACTTCGCCTGTATAATGATTATGATGAATTACTTTCGTGTCACAAAGCGCGAAGTTTCCCTCACAAATGCAACAACTCTTGGCCACCGCACATAAACGGTAACGTTCGCTTGTTGTTAAATGATACGGCTCAAAAACGTCATAAACAAGTTCAGTATACTCGACTTCCTCTCCGATTCGATCCAAAAGATTTTCGATCGCATTTTCCCCTCTGTAAAGAATTGGTTTTCTCTCCTCATAAATAGAGACGGGATATAAACACCAAGACGTAACCTGATGTTCTTGAATGTACGTTGTAATATCGCTGATTTTTTTTTGAATAGGTGTAAGACTACACTCTAAATCCAAAAATAAACATACAGGCAATAATTCCTTAGCTTTGTAATTTTTGAATTCAACCCATTTATTTGCAGATGTTGGAAGAATATTTCTACCTATCGCATTGTTTCGACAAAGCTCAATGTGTTTGTTAAGGACAGACTCTGACCAAAAGTGACTTAAACATCGTTTACAGAAAAACATTTTGTCCCCGCGATTTTGTTTTGAAATTTTTGATTGAACTAATTTTCTTAAGTTGTTAATTTCGTAGTAAAAATTCCCTTCTTTAGACCGGATTAAGAGCAAGTCTTTGTGAATTTTCTTAACCGTATCACTAGCTTTAACAGGAAATATTTTTCCGTTTTGATCGCACGTAAAAATGTTAACACTGATTTGTGAATTTTTTCTTTCAAAACGCTTCACATCGCCAATAAAAATGCTTTTACTTATCATTCCATCCCAATTAAAATTTTGTTCATCCAACCCGTTAAGAATTGCGGTTTGGAAGGAAAAATCTGAGTTGCAATTTGTTAAGGTGATAGCATCCCCTCGTTTTCTTATCGCAACAGGAATTGTAGTGACCCCAGTGTGAGAAATTATTTGAATACCTGAGCAAGAATTTGAGTGTGATTTTAATTCAGCGTTCCTTTTAAATCCTAAAAAACATTTTTTACAAAAATCGTAAGCTCTCTTTTTTGTGAAATAACACATCATTTTTGAAAAATCTTTGATCAACATGAAATGATTGGAAACAAACAATAAATCTCTATGTCGGTCCAACTCTTGTTTTGCTATACGCATAGGATGTATTATTTCTTTCTCAGAATCAAAAGTGTAAATGTTGACAGAAATATTATTTTTGTTTTCAAAATCACTCAAGTTATCCAAAAGCATTGGAGAATCTGGCCAATCATACATTTTAATGATTTCCAGAGTGTAAGATTTTAAAAAATCAGGTCTTTTCACGTGCGGAGCTAAAATCGCGTATCGAAAACAATTATTATCCTTACTTTTGAAATTTAATACATAACGACATTTTTTTATTTTATCCAGATCACAGTAACCCGAACCTCCCATTGGTTGATATTTAATTAAGTACCTATAAAAAAGCTTTATTGCAATCCTTTAAAACCCATTGAGAACGATGAGTAAAAAACTCCGTCTCTTCGTGTAAAATATCTCGCATCATATTTCTGTAAACATCTTCTACATCAATTTGATTCATTAAGTTATATGTTTTACTCATATGACTTTTGGCCATCTCATCTTCCGTAACAAGATGAAAATAATAACATTCAAGTTCAAGATACGTCTTGAAACTAAAAGAGGGATAGCGTACGAATGTTGACTCCAAAAACCGTATTATTTCACTCGAAGCTTTCGTTAAAAACCCGCCTATATCGGTGACCGAATTTTCCAAAATAATTATGTTGAATCAAACGCTGTTTGTACTAGTTTTATCATTTTTGAATCGAATATTTTTGTTTAACACAGTGAAAATTGCTCCAATCGTGATTTACGTAATATTTGAGCCAATGTTGAATCTTCTCCGCTTCAGTGAATGGTTTCTGCAATCCCCAATTGATAAAGAATTGATCTGGAAAAATAAAAGCTTCGTACACCAATTTGTACCGCCAGGAGATTTTTCTCGAGCTTGTGTTTTCAAATCCGCCGGCTTATGTGATAGTAAGTCAAAATTGTTGGGCAAATAGTCCAATGCAGTGTTCAATCCACTGGGTAGTCTATCAGAATCCTTAGGGATTTTTCCTGTGAAGTGAATCGTTTTATCGAAAGGTAGTATTTTACGGCTTAAATGAAGTGGAGATTTACATTTCCTGCGTGATTTACGAGACGACGACACTGTAAAAGAATTTTTTTTTTTTTTTTTTTTTTTTTTTTTTTTTTTAATTATTAATATGTCTCACATAATTTTAATAAAAAACAATAATCTCGAAGAACACATATTAAATGTGCTTAGGAACACGCATTTTCCACATATGTTTCATCTTCTAGAAAATGCAGCAATTGTGGTTGATCAAATTGAAAATGTAGAGTGGAGGATTTTGAAATTGAAAATTTTGAAGTTCAAAATGATGAATTTCAAAACGATCAATTTCCAAATGAAGAGATTCCATTTGAATTTAATCAAGCACATCAAAATGATGAAATTCCTCTAAACGAGTTTATTGAATTAGATAATTTCATCCACGCGTTAGAATATAATGAAGTTCAACTATTAGGTGTAGAAATCCAAAACCCGCAAATATCTAGTACTGATGGGGACCTCGGGGAGCACGCTACGTTTTTAGATATACGAGGTGAGTAGATATGGATTGCATTTTGCAAAAAGGAACCACAGCATTGCAATGTTGCTAAGATTGTGCAACTTCTTTTGTCTTGGAGGAAAAACCCGATTATCCATTAATAGTTTCTATTTTACTCGCTAAAAACTGTAAATTTAAGACAAAAATTACCATCTAAATTTCATAGTTTTTCACGATTTCCGTAATTTTATTGCAAAAGATGAAGTTGCACAATCTTAGCATCATTGCAATGCTAGTGGTTCCTTTTTGCAAAATGCAATCCATATGATTTGGGGGTTCGAGGGGCGCATTGTGCATTTTACATGAAAAAATTCAGAGGATTGCAAGAGTGGACGTAACTATTTGCATTGCAACTCACAATGTAAGCGTTTGAGAAAAGGCGTAACGTTCATAGTTATGAGATGCACCCACTGCAGCATTAATAATATGCGCTGAAGATTAAATTACAGGTAATTATAGATTCAGCGAGTGATCACTAACGCGATCCTGCCATGTTGTCAACTCGAATCGCAGCGGTGATAGGCAAGTGCGTTACCACTTAGTCATTCAACGCTCATATTGGATGCTACTGAAATCACGTTATTTGATGGAGCTAAACTAATTCGTCCGTTGTTGGTGATATTCACGCTCTGATCTATTCACTCAGAGTGCGGCGAGAATTTCACGCTGGATTTTTTTTTCGTACCAGCTATTCACTCAGAGTAAATCATTGATTTTTAACAGAGTGAGCTTTGACTTCACCGGCAAAAACCATGACACTAAAATTGTATATCTTTCTGCCAAAAGGAACTACTCACTCTTCCTCAGCATTAATACATTTACCTGATAGGAACTCAACGAATATTTGAAAGGAATACTTTTCCCCCAGTCGCAACATGCTATACAGAGGCTACTTTTGCAACTCAGCAGCACAGCTTATTACTATCCACTTAAATTAATGTGAAACAATCGATTATGCCTCACCTAAATTTCCTTTTTCTTCTTATTTTTTTCTACTATTAGTTTACTGGCTCAAATCCCAGTGGGGGCCTACAGCCAAAAATTTGATATTTTTCACAGATTTAAATTGCCAATTTGGAAGAATTGCCTCCAATGGTATAAGGCTTTGCGGTAAGAGCATTCAAAAGTCGCCAAATTTTCCCTCTAAAATATATATTTTTGACAAAACGTATGAATATTTTCCATTATAAATTTCACAGATTCTGTGGACAATTGCGAGTATATTATCTTTGGTGAAAATTTTAGAGAAAAAATTAACAAGTTTTCCAGAGAATTCACCTTCATCAAAAATAAATTTGCCAACTTCCGAATATTCATGTAAACTTCATTCCACAGCGAGGAAATATGACCGTATATTTTACACCGTTATTTTTTTTTTTTTTCTGGAATAAGTTTGCTGAATAAATTAAATCAACACGCTGAGGTTTTTTTTATATTTATTTAGTAGTTCGTCTACTCGTTCTCTATTTTATTATTGTTTCACGCATTAACAACGTTTATTGTTTTTCCATTTTTCTCAATTTAATTTTTCCATTTTTTTTTTTTTTTTTTTTTTTTTTTCATAATTGAATTTTGTGTGATATGACTGAAAAAATACTTGCAGCAATGTGCGGGAAGGCCGCTTTTTCCATTGGAAATGCTTCGAGTCGATTAATCGTTATTGAACAACCTCAATCGTTAGACACCACGCAACATGCTATTTTAGCTGTAATAATGTTAGGTTTCTTTAGTTTTTTGTAGCATTGATAAGTTTCTTTAGTTTTTTCATTGCTTGAAGAATCAGTTAATACATGTTGTTTTAAAAGGTTAACTTCCTTCTGTTTGATTTTTTATCTTAATAATCTTTTTTTTCAAAAAGCTATTATTTTTAGCACGGTATGTCAACTGCACCTCACGATGGGTAACATCGCTGCCCAATGTTCGGGATTCTAATGGCGCTAATCGAACTGCGACCTGATAACTCCGCAACCCCATATCCCCTCGCTTTTGCAATAATCTCATAAGTCAGTTTCAAAAATTACGGATGTACTATCTTTTTACATGAAGAGGTTGCCTTACCCCACCACATGCGCTATGGCTCGCTTAAAATCCAACTGACCAGAT